CCCCCTCGCCCCCTCAACCATCATCTGTCCCTATGGAGGGCGTCCTGGGAATGGTTGCCTAGGCCCCTGGCTGGGGGTGCGGCAGGCATAGGGCTAGGGCGCTCCCTCCGGATGGAGGCCGGGCTGACCCACCCTTACCCTGCAGATGCCTGTGCTGAAGCAGCTGGGCCCTGCGCAGCCCAAGAAGCGGCAGGAGCGCGGTGCCCTCTCCATCTCCGCGCCACTCGGCGACTTCCGGCACACACTGCACGTGGGGCGAGGTGGCGACGCCTTCGGGGACACGTCGTTTCTGAGCCGCCATGGCGGGGGCCCGCCCCCTGAGCCCCGGGCGCCGCCCGCGGGGGCCCCGCGCACCGCACCACCGCCCGCCGTTCCGCAGCCCCTGCCGCCTGCCCTCCGCACGCCTGCACCCACCGACCCGCTGCTGTCCTTCCATCTGGATCTGGGCCCCTCCATGCTGGACGCGGTGCTGGGCGTCATGGACGCAGAGCGCCCAGGGGCTGCTGCAGCCAAGCCTGATGCGGACCCCGACTCCGGGGCGCAGCACCCCAGGGCCCGCTGCCGCCCCAACGCGGACCTCGAGCTGGACGACGTCATCGGCCTGTAGGCTCCCAGTTCCCTGCGCCCTTGCCGTCCGACACCCCACTTCTTTATACATAAACGGCCAAGTTCTGTGCCCCGGTTCTGTCTGTTCACTTCGTACGTGGGAAGGGGGAGTGATGGGGTCCCGGCGCCATTAAGAGCCAGGTGTGTCACCTGGAGTTCTGGTCTACGCGGAGACCAGACCCACCAGGTCGAGGTCCGATGATAGACCTGAAGTCACGGGTTGCGTCCCTTTAAGAGAGCTCGGAGGTGTGGTTAGGAGGTCGCCTCCTAGGGACCGGGTCCCGAAGTGGCCGCTCCCATAGCCTCATTCATTCATCCGGTTGACAGTGCCACTACTGGCCGGAAGCAGTCCCGCGCTGCCTGACTCGCTCCAGCGGTCCGCCAAGTGCAGTGGACCCTGCCCTCTGCCCAGGGAGCGGCAGCAAAGGAAAGTGGCAGGGAATAGGCGTGGTCCCCTGTAGGAGGGCCCTTTGTTCCCCAAGGCGTGTCAGCCTGAGGGCGAGGGCGGCTGCTGCGTCAAGTCTGGGCGACGAAGCTCGGCCTTGAACCTGCAGATGTCATGTTATCCTTAGCGCCGTTGAAGGGAGCGACATCCCTGGGGGCCCACGGGGCGTGGCATCACATGCAAATCATATGGCGGAGGACAGACAGGCTCACTAGGGGCCCAGAGGGGGCTGGGCTTCACATGCAAATCATTAGACGGGGGCGAGCCAGGCTCGCTTAAGGGTCCAGGGAGGGCGGTGCCGCACAGGTAAATCACTATGGTGGGGTGCGGAGCCAGGCTAGCTAAGGGCCCAGGGAGGGCGGTGCCGCAGGAGTAAAGCTTTTGGACTGGGGGCGGGGCACAAATGTAAATCGCTTGCCTGCGGAGGGGTTGGGGTCAGGCTTCCAGAGGACAGTGGAGATCGGTCCACTTGGGCCAGAGTCGAGAGTCTCGCGGGCGTGCGAGTGGCCGAAGTGCCTGAGCGTGACATCACAGTCAGGTAACCGCCCAGGTTGGGGGCAGGGCTGCTCACAGGGCGGGCCAGCCAGGGCAGGACCAGCTCGTCAGCTGTTCCCCGGTTCCCATGGAGGCGGCTGGAGAGCCCGAGTCTTCCCTGGAGGCCCCCGCCGCGGAGCCCGCGCCGCCAGCGGCCTGCCGCTACTTCCTGGAAGGCCGCTGCCACTTCGGAGCCCGCTGCCGCCAGCCCCACCCCGGAGCCCCGGCGCCAGCGCGGCCTAGTGGCGGGGCCCAGGCCGAGGCCGAGGCCGGGACCAAGAAGTCCCCGCTGCGCACTGCCGCGGCCGTCATCCAGCGCATCCGCTGGGACCCGCTCCTGGACCCGGCCGACTTCTCGGTGGGCTATGCCGACCGCTTCTTGGGCGTGCGTGAGGAGCCCTTCAGCGCCTTCTGCTGGGACGAGCCGCTGGCGGCGCTGGGGCCCGGCGTGCTGGCCGTGCCGCAGCACCGCGTGCGGTACTTCCGCTTCCGCGGCCGAGTCGTGTGGGACCGTGCTTCGCGCATGGACCAAGTCTTCGGCTCGGGCTCGGCGGAGGGCCGCGGACCCACCATCCTGGACGCGCTGGACGGCGGGATCGCGAATGTGTCCAGAGATGTGCACGATGATGAGGACGCGCATGGGACCGAGGACGCGCATGGGACCGAAGAAGCACAGGACTGCATAGCTGCGGCCCTCGGTGGCGCCAGAGAGCCGGCCTGGACAAGTTCTAAAGGCGGTCAGCTGACGCTGGAGTCTGCATACGCCCAGGAGGTGGACGGGACCAGAAGCCAAAATTCCCCGTGGAGAGAGCCCAAAAGGGTGCTGAAGACGGCTGCCGAAGCCAGGACTGAAGAGGTGCAGGCCATGGCAGCCCCAGGTCAGCACCCGGGAGAAAGCTTCCTGGAGGCTAAAGTGTTGTGGGGGCCTGGGGCCTGGCCCGAAGGCGCAGCCCCTCGCCAGCCTCGCCCCACGCATTTTGTAGCTATCATGGTGACAGAGCCCAGGCTGCAGGTAGGGGTGGCCAAGGCCCAGGAAGAGCTGGTCCGAGCCGCACCATCGTGCGCTGCATTTACAGTGCCCACTAAGGCTCTGCACCTAACACTGGCCCTACTGAGGCTGGCTGGACCTGGGGAGGCAGCAGCCGCTGTCGGAGCACTGAGACGCGTACTTTCAGCCCCTGGAATAGACGCACCCGCGCAGCTGACGTTTATGCGGCTGGTGCTCTGGGGCTCCCAAGTGCTCTATGCCCCGCCTTCCCCCTCCCTGGAAGCCATGGCCCAAGTGCTGAGCCAGAGGCTGGAGGCTGAGGGGCTCAGAGTGCTACAGCCCCCTGGGGGACTGCGCCCCCACCTCACGCTGGCCAAGGTGCCCCGGGGCTCCCAAGGCCACCTCCCGGCCACTGGGTTCAGCCCAGAGCAGGAGCTAGGGAGCCAGCCCCTGGGGCAACTCTGGCTGTGTAGCATGGGGAGGGCAGGGGGCGCCTACCAGCCCCTGGCTGAGATCCCCCTGGGGTAAGAGTCCCAGACCTCTGGGAGACACAACTAGGATTTCAACCCCAAACCACAAGAGGAGATCCAGTCCAGCAGCAGGGACAAAGTGTGCACGCTCTCTCTCTCACTCTTTAATTTTGGTTTCTCTCAAGCTTCCAAACTGTGCTCAGTGCTCCAAGGAAAAGAATGAAGGAAAGAAAGGGGAGGGGAGAGGAAAAGGGAGGGGAGGCAGAAGAGGAACATCTGGAAAAAAAGCAGCCTGACAGTCCAGCTGTTTGCGAACTCATTGCACATCCTCCAGTTACATGGCAGAAGAGGGAGGGAGGGCCGAAAAGAAAAGGGGAGGAAAAAGAAAAAAAAACTTAAACACACACAAAAATAAAAGAGAAGGAAACATGACGTGAGCTGGTGATCCATGAAGGCAGGGAGGGGGAACCGTTTACCTGTGCTGAACCAAGGGGGACGGGGGAGCAGGAGGAGGAGGAGGGAGGAAAGGGGGAAAAAACACTGGGGTGGAAGGAGGAGGGGACACAAGACATCTTAATACAACTGCAGACGAGGCTGCCCGGCCGGTGAGGTCCCGCGATGGCCTCCGGAGTCCTCAGTGCGAGGTGGCGGCGTGGATCTGCTGGTGGCGTGGTGGTGGCTTTTCTGGGGTGGGGGCCGAGGGCAGGGCACAGTCTCTACGGGCTCCCCTTGCCCCAAACACTGAGGCCCCAGAGGGCTGGGCAACAAGAGTCTGTGGTGAGGCGGGCGGCGGGTGGCGTGCTGGTGCCCCCGCATGGCGGACACGGGCGGAGCGGCCTGTCTTCTCCCGCTGGCCCCCGGCGTGGGACAGCCAGCCAGGGTGCTGGGTTGGTGCCGAAGTACAAGCTCGAGAGAGAGAGAGAAAAAACACTGAGACAGCATTAGTGGAGGTACAGGGTGGACACAGATCATACCCCCATCCCTCCGCGTCCCCCCCTCCTCCCCATCCCCGTCCCTCTGAGGCAAAAAATAAAAATGTAGAAAAAAATTTCTGTACAGACTCCCCAGTCGGAAAATGGGGGCAGGGATGGTGGCTCTTCCTGGAGCCCACTCCCCATAATTAATTTACAACCCCAGTCCATGGCTCAAAAACAAGATCTGCGAGGCAGCACTGGGGGCTGCAGCCCCACCCCGCCCCGTCGTGCTGGTGCTCAGAAGGCGGACAGCTGCGCCAGGCTGAGGCGGCAGTCGATGCTGGCGTTGTCCGGGCCCAAGTAGGCCAGGCCCAGGGGCTCTAGGAAGGCCCGGCAGGCAGCCTCGCCCTCGAAGGCCAGCTCGGCCTGCAGGTAGGAGATGGGCAGCGCAGGGCGGAAGCTACGGAGACAAGAGGAGAATGTGATGAAGCAGGCGGTGGGCAGGGGGGGCCCCACGAGCACAGAGTGGGTGCCCCCCCTTCAGACACCCAAAAGGTTTCCTCAGCACGTTACCTGCTGACCTCTCACCCCCCCTAGCCTCCCCACCTCTGGGGCTTGGGGAGGCCCGGGGTGGAGCTGATGGCCCCAACCCCAGTTGTGCCCCCCCTCACCCTCACTTACCTGTGCAGGGGGCGGGGAAGGAGAGGGGACAGGAGTGAAGGGCCCAGCCGGCTCCTCCACAGCTCAAGGGCCTGAGCAGTCCCTCAGAATAGGGCTGCTGTGGCCGAGGGGCGGGGGCCAGACAGAGATAGTGACCTCGGGACAGCATGGGATGGCAAGGCTGACTGCCACTTTGGGGGCCCAGGCTTCATTAAGTCCCCAACCCTGGGCTAGTTGCCTCGGAAACACCCAGACACAGGTGTCAGCCAGCACTTACTACATACTCAAAACAGGATTTCTGATTGTCCAGAAGAGACACTATTTATGGAGCACTTGGCTTGTGCCAGGATACAGCTGTTCCAAGTGCTGTCACACTGACTCACTGAATTCTCGCCCGTAAGCTATGTCACCCTACGCTTTATAAATACTGAGGAAACTGTAGATCCAAAGACAGAGCTACTTGACCAGTGTCACCCAAGGAAGCAAGTAGCAAAAAGTACATGAACCAGTCGTGCCCCAAGCTGATGCCTACATGGGGTAAGGGGACACAGGAAAGCCTGTTGCCCCCCACATCTGAGCTGGCCTCCTGGCTGCCCTGCAGAAACCTGACTGGGATGGAAGGACATGTATGCCAAAGACAGGTAGTGCCAACTTAAAAAGTGGTGAAGCGTGAGAGCCTGAGGCCAGTGACAGGCCAGGGCCCGTCCCACAGGAACACTGCTGTCTGTGTACCCACGCAAGGCAAGCACATGTAAACTAACAAGAAAACAGTCACTGGCCCTATGAGTAAGCACGTGGAAGCTCGGGAGCTGCCCTGCAGGAACCTGTCCAGCCGCACAGGGCGGACCCAGAGGGGCAGCTGGGCCCTTCAGGCACACCGCTGCCTCCTCACTCCCTGTCAGTAGCCAGGTCCCGCGCATCCTTACCCTCCACGTTTCTGCCCCATGTCCTTTTCTCTATTTCCATGGTCCCTGCCCTGGCTTGGCCTTCTCCTTCAATCTTCTTGACCCAAACTAGATCCTAAACTGTGTCCCTCATCTTCAGGTTGACTGTCCCTCCCCATGACGCCCAAGCTAGTGGACACAGCATTCAACGCCCCTGGGACCGATCTACCCCTGACCAGAGGTTCTCAATCTCGGCAACACCAACACTGCCCTGCGCACTGCAGGCCGGTCAGCAGTATCCCTGGTCTCTATCCACTACAGGGCAGTAGCACCCCCAACTTGTGACAACAAAAGATGTCTCCTGACATTGCCCTATGTCCCCAGGGGGAGTCTCACTGCCCTGAGCAGCGCAGGTCCCCCTCACACATGCGCACACACAGTGGGCACACTCAATGTCTGAGAAACCGAGGATGCCCCCTTGGTAAGCACTGCCCAAGCCCAGCTCACCCCGCATCATGCCTCTTTCCCTAATCTTTTTTGCACCCTTGAAGGACTCAAGTGGGAATGGGGCCCCGTCCCATCAGACCAGAAGCTGCCAGAAGCAGGACCATCTTTTCTACTTGGTCTCTAAAGCAGCTCAGTGACAAGAGTGCCGAGAAAGAGAAGCAGACAGACACCTTGCAGGGAGGGAGGCTGGGGCCCAGAGCAAGGAGCCAACCAGCCAGGGTCCCAGGTCATGTGAGCAGGAGGGAGAAAGCAGCAGGGAGTAGAGAGGGACCCCCAGAGCACTGAGACAGAGATGGTGGAAGAAAGGAGACACAGGAGGGCCAGAAAGAGGGTGGGCTGTGTGAAGGAAGCAGGAGGGACTGAGGGGGCTGCATCTGGAAAGACGAGAAGGGGAAAGAGGACCAGGAGGGAGACCAGAGGTGACAGGGGACAGAGCTGGAGGCCCGGTGGCCGGGAGTGTGCAGATGAGAGAAGAGAAGAGGGCCAGGGGGAGAGCTCAGCAGCACATACGTTTTGATCATTGCCTTGAGGGCAGCCTTGCGCTCCCGATCTGCGAACTTGTCTACGAGGTAGCCAGACATACAGGGCGCATGGCAGTAGAGCCGGAAGAAGCGGTGGTAGTTGCCCAGAGCCCAGGCTGCCCTTAGCGCCAAGGCGTGGGCCACGCAGGGGTCTGTCTTCAGCTCCCGGGTCAGGTACGCCAGCTCCGTGGTGATGTCTGCAGCCCCAGACAAAAGGGAGTCAAGCGGGGCCCAAGCCAGGCCATGCCACCCAGTCCCGAGGCCAGGGCCTCACCTCCCGAGTTCTTGGTGAACATATAGTACAGGATCCGGTAGGCGGTGAACTCGCCCACATTGCCTGGCAGGTTCTCCGCATACAGAGACTTGAGCTGTGTCTGGCACTGGTTGAACTCCTCATGGTCACCCTGGCAGTGGGACAGAGGGGAGGAGCACAGTGAGACCAGGGGAGGGGCCCAGGAGCAGCCCGGGGCCTGTCACCACTCACCTTCTCCAGAGCAATGCGGGCGTGAGTCTCATACACCTCCACAGTAAACTCAGTGCGCACACCTTGCACCTGGGCAGTGGGGACAGAGGTCAGGCTGCAGCAGGGCAGCACGTTCCCCTGTCAAGCCATCCCAGCCCCAGCTCACCGTCAGGTCCTGCCGAATGGACTTCATCTGCTCGCAGGCAAAGGCGTAGTCCTGCTTCTCTTTCCAGTGGGACTTGACCATGCACAGTGACTTCTTCAAAACCTGGAGAGGGACCAGATAAAGGCTCAGTGTGACAGGCAGGCAGAGAAGGGACATACCACACCCCGTTACAGTTTCATTCCCTCGGCATTTCAAATGAGGATGTGACATCAGACCTACTCAGTGACTCTCTACCAACATGAGGAAGGACTGACAGCATGGCACAGGTTAAGTGTGCCCAGGCCTGGTTCCATACCAGCACCCAGCAAGCAGGCACCTGGGACACAATGTTCACTGGATCGTCTCGAGGGCCTCAGCAGAGGACGCTGGCGTCCTTCTCCCTCTCAAAGCGATGAAGGCCCAGAGGCTGAGTGGGTCTCTGACAAGGCCGCACACCCGGGGCTCTGGTCTTCAGTTCACTTTAGTGCCCACCTAGCCAGCCGGGCTCACAGGGATGACCCTTCCTTCCTGCCTGCACTCACCGGCACAGGGCGCACAGTAGACGGGTCGGGGGCACAGGTGAGACGCAGGTAGTGCTTGGTGACATCAGGGCAGGTGCCCACAATCTGCAGCTCCTGCCAGTCGGGGTCAGCCCCGCTGCTCTCCAGGCCGCCCACCTGTAGCACCAGGGGCTCGAGGCGCAGGCGGCGGGAATGTCCATGCTGGAAGCGGGCCGCCCGCTTCTGCTTCTTCAGCTCGCGCTCAGGGTCCTCACACTCCAGCGCCACCATCCTCTTGCGGCTGCGCTTGGTGGGAGCCAGGTCGTGCCTGGGGAGGGAGGGGGCCAATGGAGGCATCAGCACCTTCCGTCCTCAGCCACGGCAGCCACCTGCCTCCCCGACGCTCCCCAAGGGCACAGCCCCTCCTCCCTGGTCACCCACTGAGGCTCACCTCTTCCCACGCTGTGCCCTGCCTCGGCCGCGATCCATGTGGGCCCCCCGACCCCCCCGGCCCTTGGGGGGCGGGTTCCTGCGGCCCACAGGCTGACACTCATTCCCTGAGTAGGAACTGTCGGAGTCTGAGTGGGAGTCACTGTGGAAGAAGCAGAAGATGAGGCCCGAGCTGGATGCCCACAGGCCCACCCCTACCTGCAGCCAGAGCCCACAGCACCTGCGGCGGAAGTGGCGGCTGGGGGACCGGGAGGAAGAGCGGGAGCGGGAGTCAGTGCTAGAGGAGGAGCTGTGATCCTTCATGAAGACGTTGCGGTTGCCAAACTTGGCGAAGCTGCTGCCCCTCGCTCGGCTGGCTCCCCCGCCTCCTGGTGTCCCTCGCTGGGACTGAGCGGCCCCGCCCCTGGTGGTGGCTCCCGCCCCCCTGGGAGGGTGAAGGTTGCTGGGGGCCTCCCACCGCTTCTTTTTGGGGCTCTCTGCCACAGGCTCCCGAGTCAGCCTGAGAACAAAGGAAGGCAGGGCATCACCAACCTGTGCCCCCACTGCCCACCTGCCACCCACCCCAGGAACACAGTGCCTCAGGCAGGAAGGGCACGCATGCAGGTGACCGGGCTGACATACTGCAGAAATGGAGGCAAGCCCGGCTGGCTGTCTAGCAGGTGCCCTCAGACTGCACAGCCCTCGGCCCCAGGCTCTTGCCCTTCTCCTCCCTACCCCCAACCCTGCACTCAGGCAGCTCTCACCCCGGCAGGGGCTCCCGGCTCCAGTCGATGGTGTAGGCTGAGCCATCCTGGAGCCGGGCCTGCAGCACCTCCTTCAGCAGTTTCTCCGTCCGGTCTTTATCCTCCTCCGACTCACAGGCCGTGAAGCAGCGTTCCACGTACTCTTTCATGTCCTGGGGCCAATCATCAGGCTTCCCGGAGAGGCTCCCCCTGGGTGAGCACATTTGCAGGGACTCAGCTGGGGCACGCCCACCAGCAGAGCCTGTTGTCACCACCACTCAGAGCTGACCCATGTGCCAAACCTAATGTGGTGTTTCCTTCTCCCTCCCAGTCTGTGCTCCCAACAACCCCACAGGAGGCCCGCTTCCCTCTGAGGACCTGCAGAGCGCTGAATGNAAATGCGTGGACCCCAGTTTGCCCTTCAATAAAAGAACAGCATAGCCTTCGCTGATGCCCCATCTTTCTCAGCTCTGTAATTCAGCACTTCTGATTGTTAATTCAGCGCCACCCCCATGCCCCCATGGTAGAGTGCTGGTTTCAGAAGCTTTGGGGGCAACGGGAGCCATTGAAGGGTTGTGAACATGGCAAGGAGCAGCTCAGACCCATCCTATGGGATAGATGGACCCCCCTGGGGGTCGAGTTGCCAGATCAGACACAGGATGCCCAGTTAGACTTGAATTTCAGGTGCCCAACAACAACAAAAACACAGTACAAGTGCCTCCCCAGTATGGCATGGGGCATACCTAAAGTAAAAGGGTGTTTGTCGTCTGCTGAAATCTGGCAGCCCCAGCTGAGAGCTCATGGGGCACAAATGGGAAGGGAAGGAGGCCTGTGTCCTCCGGGAAGAGAGAAAGCCTGAGCTCCAGGAGATCCCTGGCGGTCGGGGTGTTGGATGCAGACACTCAGAAAGCAGAAGGAAGGAGACCACTGGGTGACTGCCTGGCTGTGGGGTCTCAGGAAGTGAGAGGGGCGATGACCCTGCCTGAGGTCTCTGTCACCATAGTGTGCATGGGCCAGCTGTGCACCCTTGAGCAACCCAACGCTCTGTACATTACTGTCCAAGTCTGTTAGACAGGCAGTAACAGCAGTTCCTTCTTAATAGTGTCACTAAGGGGAGCTTGGGGAGTCGCCATCAGAGCCCGCACTCAGCAAAGCCCAAGTGCACACCAGGTGTCAGAAGAGGGACTGATTTTCTCCTTAACCCTCACAACTGTCCAGTAAACAGGTACCATCTCCCTCACTTCACAGGTGAGACAACTGAGATTCAGGCACATGCACCTGCAGGTGGCCACAGACGGGCAGGAATCTGCAGGACACCAGGCACTCTTTCTCCTGGGTGTCCTGCTCACCCCTGCCTCAGCACGATAACAGCATGCCTTACAGATACTCACCCCTGTAAACCCAGTTTTATAAGTGAGGAAACTGAGGCACAGAGCAGTTAGTGACTTGCCTGAGGTCTAGAGCTAGGACTGGAACCCTACCAGTCTTGCTCCAGAATTCACTAAGCTGAACAGCCAATAGGAGGGACGGAGGGTGGAGAATAAAGGAGGGAGGAAGAAAGAAAGGAGGAAAGCAGAGGAGGGGGAAGAGAAGGAAGGAAAGAATAGGAGGGCTGGAGGGGCTGGCTGGCAGGGATGAGCCAGGGATATAAGGTGGGGAGAGAGGGAGGGAGGAAAGAAGGAAGGAAAGATAGGAAAGATAGGAAGGAAAGAAAGATGGATAGATAGGTAATAGCTAGATTGAGAATACCACCTATATGATAGATAAATAATAGATAAATAGAAAGATTTCTCAGGAGCAATGGGAGGAAGGCTGACAGGGTCGAAGGAGGCTGTTCAGTGGGTACGGGTAGAGGTTCCCCTTGAGAGAATTTGAAGAGGGGGACAGGAGTCACCTTGTGCAGGCCTCGACAGTGCAGTAGTGCCACCAATTGGTGGAAGTTTCCTTCTGTCACATTCAACGTCTCCTCCAAAGACAGCAGAGGCTTCTGCGGTGGAAGGGAGGTTATAATCCCACGTACTCCTGCCATCTAAACCTGGGCCCCGCCTCCTTCCAGACCCCGCCCACAATCAGAGAGCCACCCCTTTCCGCACGCCCCACCCACACTCTACGGACCGCGCCCATCGACCCGCCCCCTTCTGCAGGCTCCACACTCCTTCCCCGGTGGCTGGTTGTAGGGGGAGCGCCCGGCCCGCCCGACCTGCGCGGAAGGGAACTGGGGCACAGCTTCTCGCTCCAGGCCCTGTAACTGGGAATGGATGTTGGCCAGAGCTCGCTGGGACAGAGTCAGCCTCTGCGGGAAGACAGAGGGAGGGAGGAGGACCCCGTGGTCCACACCCCAGCCCACTCCTCCCTAGGGACACGGTGCCTTCATCCTCCCTCAGAACCCCTAAGTCCATGACCCAGCCCCGGCCTCCTCCACCCGGTTCCCTTGCCCGCAGCCCTAACCTGTTGAAAGGGGCTGGAGACGGCCTGATTGCAGAGGAAATAATAGTTCAGGATGTCTGAGGCAGGAGGGGAAGAGGGGGGAGGCCATGAGCCTGGGCCCAGGGCCTCCCTGGGGGAAGGCCAAGGGGGCAGGGCTCTGTCTTTCCACCCTCAGGGCCAGGAGCCCCTCCCCAGCTCAAGACGGTCTTGTGGTCCCAATGGCCTGGCATTCTGAGACCCACCACCAGCCCAGTCCCTAAACTCTCCTGCTCAGGCCACAGCCCAAAACACACTTGTCTCCACACTCCCTGGGAACCCTTGAATAAACTGCTCCCCCCAGTTTCTCCAAATGGCTGAATCCTCCATCCCTCAGGCCCTGCGCCCTCCCCTGAGTCCAGCATCTTTATCCTCCCTCTTTTCCATTCCACCAGGGAGGTTCTGAGAGCTTCAGGGGACCAGGCTAGGCCTGGCTGATGGCTGGGCACCTCCACTCCACCCCACCCCAGGTAGGGCTGGGCAGAGGCCTGAGGATCCAGGGTGTGCACCGGGCCGATGGGGTCACCTGAGCCAAGCCCAGTCTCCTCCTGGGTCAGGTTCAGGACATAGGTGTCAGGACTGGAGCAGAAGTCACTGAGGCCCTGAGAGAGGCAGCAGGAAAGGGGGCTCAGACCAGAAACTGCCCCAATGCCACACTCCCACAAACTCAGTGCACCTAGCCCCACCTCTCTCAGACCCAGGAGTCCAGACCCCCAGCCCCTCCTCCCTTAGACCCAGGAGTCTAGGCCCCCAACCCCCTCCTTCCCTAGAACCCAAGTGTCCAGGACTCCAGCTTCCAGCACCTCAGGATGTAGGAAACTAGCCCCAAATCTCAGATCCTGTGACCCTGGCACCCAAGTCCTTCCTCTTAGGACCTAAGGCACTGGCCCCCACCCACCCCAGGATCCAGGAGTCAGGGTCTCCAGCCTCAGTGAGCCCCAGAGCCCAAGAGCCTGGCCCCTGTACTCACCACGGCTGTGGCTGCCTCCAGACCCAGGGAGCCCCAGCTCAGGACAAGAACCACAAGACTCATCACAGTCATCCTGTGGGGGGAGGGGATTGGACTTGGGGTTCTGGGGTTTTTGATCTCTCCACCTCACCTCTTCTTTTTCCTCACCCCAAATTCCATCACAGCCCCAACCCCTCACCTCTGGAGCCTGGAGGATCAGAATTTAGGGACNTTAGGCCTACCCCGGGAACAGAGAGGTGCAGTGCCAGGCGGCTGCCCCAAGGCTCTGGGACAACACCAGCACCCAGAAGTAAGGCTGCGCACACCAGTGCCCCTGCTCCTTTGCATTGCCCACTTACGCTTCATGCGGTTCCACAGCTGCTGGCCCTTCTTCGGCTTGGCGGGCTCTGTGTAGGCATGTGGCCCGTACGCCTGGCCTGAGGCAGGCCCCGCCTGGCTGTGCTGTGAGGCTGGGGCTGTGCCGGGCTGGGGGCCGCTGTTCAGAGCATGAGCCCCATGTGGGGGGTTGGAGGGCTGAGGGGGCTGGGCCGTGGGCAGCTGCTGGGGGGGTGCCTGGTAGGACATGCTGTCATCCATGCTGGGGACCGGGGGCTGTTGAAGGAAGTGATGCTGAGGGCGGGCAGAGTCTCGGGGCTGCTCTGTCTGTCCGCAAGCACAACAGTACTCAGCTCTCAACTCTACCATGTCCTTCTGAGGTATGGCCTTTTACTAACTACCCTTCCACAGCTGGGAGAACTCGGGCTCAGACACAGAGCTACTCCCATGGTCCCAGCTGTTAAATAGCATCCCCCTACCCCCACTCCCGCCAGTGGTTATGGTCTGAGCTCTTGTCCCGTGCCAATCAAGGTACACATGACCGCACATACTCACAAGAGCCCTGTACATGATCACCTTTCCCACTCTTAGAGCTGGCTGAGCTGTGGATGTCACATGACCTCTCTTGTAATCATACCACCAGGTCCACCCACCTCCCTGCACTGGCTGTACCACTCCTCCAAGGTGCACATTAAGTGCAAGGCCAGAATGTGTATGTGTACACGCGCATGCGTGAGAGAGACACACACAGAGAATGTGTGTGATTTCATGTGTGGGGGGGATACAGAACATAGGCTGCTACCACCATTACCCCAACAGCCCAGGCCCTGGTCTTGACCAAGCCCTAAACCCATCCTGGTTTCAAAACCTCTGTTCTACCCAGTCTCAGAGCAGGACTTGCTTTGCAGGAGGAAAAAAAGGGGAGGGGGTCAACTTAAATAACACAGGCATCCCCATTGCTAGCCCACTCAAAAAACTACATCCCCAGCTGGAACATGACATGGAGCTGGGCTGGGGCATTACCTGGTTGAGAGTCCCTTGGTGCTGGGGGGCTGATGACTGCTGGGGTGTGGCTGAGCCATAGGAGCCGGCCATCCCGTACTGGGAGGGGGAGCCATAGCTCTGGTACATGCTCTGCCAAAGGCAGGAAGGAGGGTTAGTGGCAGGCCACCCCGACCCCTGCTGCTCAGACACTGTACACGGCCTGTGGCCCTCCCTCATCCGTCACCCTTTCCTCTTTACCGCATAACTGCATCAAACACTCTTACATTAAGAAAAATTATAAAATAAAAACTATCAATTCTATATCCCACTTCCGCTAGTCCTCAAAAGTTATTTCTCTACTCCACAAATATTTACTGAGTTCTACACAAGATAAACACCCATGCTCGAAAGAAGTTGGCACTCAAAACAGCACAGTTGCAGACAAATATGTAACACGTCCAGCAGTAAGAGCTGGGAAAGAAAAGGCCAAGCAAAGCCGCAGGGTGCAGGGTGAGGGGATGATCCTTTAAACATCAAGTTTGGTCAGAGACAAGCGTTCTTCAGACACCATCTGGACAGCCCTCTGGAAGGTGAGAACACAGCAAGGTGTGGGCACATGGGATGGAGAGCAGCGGCAGAGCACGAGTGGACCTGGTGTGGGAACATCGAGCATGTGGCAACTGGAGTGAGCGTGGAGAGGAGAGGTGGCCAGAACCAGATAGCATGGGACCTGGCAGACCAGGGACGGGCCTGGGAACTGATCTCGTGAGAGATGAGCCAGTGGAGGATATTCAGCAGTTGTCATGCCATCTGCAATCCATCAGCCACCCGGGCCGCGCCCCACTGAGCCCGCCTGTGCCCCACAGCTGAGCACTCACCACGGGATAATAGTAGCTGTAGGGATAGGCGTAGCTGTACTGCTGGTACCACTGGTAGTACTGCTGCTGCTGTAGCACCGAGGCTTCTGCCTGGGGTACATACTGTGGAGAGAGCCCACGTGACATAAGCCTGGGAGCAGGAGCCCACAGGCCCTATGATCCCCAAAGGGCAGACCTATTTACTGGTTAACTGCCATAGAACAGAACCGGGTCCACATCTCCCCATGGAGAGCCACCGCCTCTACCACCAGACTCAGATACCTTACCGACCAAGGGCATGTCTCCCTCTTCAGGTTGGATTCCCAGGGAAAAGAACACATGGTGCCCTGGGTGCTTCCAGGGAATAGTCGTTGCTTCCCCCACCCTAGAGCTCCTAAGGTATCTTCAGAGCCCTTTGTCATGGTGATACACGAGGACACCATGTGTCTCTCCCCCCCAGCAATTCACCATCAGGGTGATCAGGCCAGTGCAGCTTCTCACCTGTGCGCTGGCCACAGGCCCATTGCTGCTGGCCTTGGCGGAGCTGCCAGCGGCACCTGCCTTACTGATGCTGGCCAGGGCCTGGCGGGCCTTCTCCCACTCTGGGTTCTCATGCATAGGCGTCTCCATGCCATTCTCTCTGCCTGTCCCGGCCACCATGCTGTATTGAGAAGACCTGCAGAGAGCAGACCGCGTCAGTCTGCTCTCCCCACTGCACAGGGTGGGCAAGATGGAAAAAGGCAAACACCAGGGCTGGAATCCCAGATCTCCCTCTCACTATCTACTGGAGCCTAACTTTTCTAATCTATGATATGCTAACAACCAGTTTCTGTTTCATAGTTTTCTGTGAGGGATAAGTGAGATTCCTACCTAAGGTACTTTTCCAGGTGACTGGTACACAGCAGTCGTTAAAAATCAAACAAAACAATTACCAGTATCCAGAGAACTTCACATAGGACCTGGTGCCTAATAAGTCTAAATATTTTATGAGTCAATAAATTCTGTCTGACACCCCCACTCAGCAGGTTATAATCACAATGTTTTGGAAAAAATAAGGAATTAACAAAAAGGTAAATGACTATTAAGTGTTGGAAGCTGCCTTCCAATCACAATTCACTGAATGAATCGCCAGTTTTGGGAAACAAGAACTATACTGTGAAAAACGAAAGCTCAGAAGGCTTGACCCTCGCCACACTACACCCAAATGCTTTCTGTACCCTGCGGACAGAAGGCCTCATCCCTACCCCCAGGAACTACTGTATCACTTCCCCCACGCTGTGTGAGGTCCCATCCCAGAGGACAATGCTGGGGCTTGCTTCCTCTTGCCCTCCCCTCTGGCTTCTGTCCCTCTAACCCACTGACCAGTCCGTGCCACGTTGATCACCCACGTTGGCCGCCATCTGGACCTTGGGGTGTAAGGGGTGGACCTCGGGAGCCAGACTGCTTGTTCACTGTCTGTGAGAAAAAGAATGAATTAGGGAGACTCAAAAGGGAGCAAGAAACATGCCATAATGTGAGGAAAGAAGCAGATGGACTCACGAGAAGCCAGGCAAAAAAGGGATGTTTGAGAAAGGAGCCCCTGGGGTAAAAAAATCTGGAGGGAATTCTGGGTGTGGGAGAAAAGGGCCACTGTGTGAGGGGAAGACCTGGGCCTCCCTGTAGTGCTTTGCATGGAAAATGAAGGATTTGAAAACAGGGAAGTTTGAAGGAATTTCCCAGAGGAAAAGAGGATCTGAAACCCATGAGAAAAGAGAAGGATTCGAGGAAACCCTGCGGCACATGGGGGAAGGTCAGAGAGTGGGATGGGGGACCTTGGTCAAGGGTAAGAAGTCTAAGAATTCCTGAAAGGAAGCAGGAGAGGACACGCTAATGAGCCAAGTCTGAGTGAACCCTTAACGCTGGGAGACTTGGAAAGATTTCTGAGAACTCTGTAAGGAAGGAAGCACCTCAGGGAGAACGGAGAAAAAAAATCTGAGAGGAAAAGGGGATTTCTGGAAGTTGCTCCTAGAAGCCGGGAGAAGTTCAGGGTGCGTGAGGAGAATGCCAAAGGGAAGAAGAAATGGGTTCCTAGGAAGCTCTGAAGAGACTGATTTCAGAAGTTCCTAGAAGGAGGGTTGGCCTGGGGGAGGGAAGAGGCAATCGCTTCGGCTGGGGATCTGGGAAGAAAGCTTTGGGGATGCCTAAAGAGGTCCAAAACATCTTTTGGAAGGTAATGGTGGGGTGGGGAGGAATGCTGAAAAGTCAAAGGGTGTCTTGGGAGCAAGAATTGGCGAGCCTAAACTTGAGGGAATAACTGACAACCATGGGTGGGCTCAAAAGTGAGTCCTGCTTGAGAACAAGAAGTGAGGAGAGAGGAAAAGGAGTCTGGAGCTGGAAAAAGCCCTTTGGAAAAAAGATCTTAAAAGAAACAGCCCAGGGTGAAGCAGAAGGTCATGAGCGGGGTACTGGTAGGGTGGCAGGGCAGAAAGGAGCTTGGCGGTAAGACGGGGCCGGAGTGAGGGTCCTGGGCGGGTCTAACGGGCGGAGGCAGGAACCGGCGGGAGGCGAGAGGCACCTGGCCATTAAGCAGGCGCGGGGAAGGCAAAGGAGGGCGCCAGGTGGAGAAGGAGCCTGCCCAGATCCTAGCGACAGGCCCAGGAGCCACCGCCCCGGCCGCGCCACGCATGCGCACTATGTCCCGGGGGGGGGGCAAAAAGCACAGGGGCCAACCGTCGCCCGAGGCAACGCCATTCTCCGATTGGAACCTCCCGGTCAATGGGAATTGAATGAAGGGCCACGGGGGTCTAAGAAATTCCAAGGGAGGGGCGGAGAGCAGAGACCGACTGCACAGGCGCGAAGGTGCGCGGCCGCGCGCCCCACCCCGCGTGCGCAGGCGCAGTGACGCCTGTGCCCGCCACACCCAGTAGACGCTCGCGCGCGGTGTCTGTTGGGGTGACGGCCACCAAGGCCTCGGAGTCCACAGGGCGTAAGCCTGAAAGGAGATGCCGTGCCCGTACCTCCGCCCGCCGCTTCCCACACCCACCTCAGCCTTTCACTCCCGGGACTCAGCAGCAGCGGCCCAAGGCGACAGCAACACAACCACGGAAATGCTCACGACCCTGCTGCCTCTAGTCTTCTTTGGGTATCGACGTCCAGACCGCGGCGTCCTGACGTCACACGGAGTCCTTGCTCCGCCTCCCTCCGTCCTGCACAGCCAATGGACGCCGCGAACTTGATTTGAGCCCGCCCTGCCTCCTACGCAATGACGCGGTAGGCGTTTTAGGGAAGCCGGAAGACGGGGTGAGGATGGTGGCCCGGAGTGGGGACGCTCAGCAGATTTGGGCTCTGCCCCTTTCCACGCATTCTTGTTTTTGCTAAGTTAGTGGTAGCCATTATTGTTATTCCTAGATATAAACGAGGGTGTTGGTAGTTGTAAGACTGCCCACAGTACAGGGATGTGGAAGCCTGGGAAATAGAATGACGAACTCTTAAGAAAGCGAGTGAACAGGCTCCACCGGAAAGGGAAGCTTCCCCAGTAAATAAAACTGGAACGACGCACCTGCCCTAGGGTGCACCGTGTTCAAACATTTGAGGCGAGAAACAAACCCAGCTTGAGGAGTTGGGGGACGGGGGCGATAGAAGGAGCAGGGGGCTGTGGCAGAACAGAAATGTGTGAGGTTCTGGAGTGAAGCGGTAGATCCGTAGAGGTGGGCAGATAGCAAGGCCATTGATGTCACGCTGAGGAATTTGGAGTATCTCTGTAAACAGGGTCTTTCTATAAGTTTCTTGTAACTTTAACTTTTCGAGTCTGCCGCCTGTTTCCATCCAGGACTGACTGATAAAATTATCCAGCCCAGTTCAGGGACTGGTCACTAGTTACAGCAGGTGGTAGAATGTTATTTAACGGACGGCTTCCTTCCCATTTTCTACTGTTAAAACTTTTCTATTGATAGCTGTATATTATGTTGTTACTGTTAGTATACTTGATCTTCTATCTTTTTACTTTTTTAAGTTAAACGTT